TTTGTGCCTTACACAAAGTACACATAAAAGCCTGTAAGCAGCCATATTTGGCTGAATTGGAAAGGCTTTAAAATACAACACAAAAAGCGCGTATAGATTAGCTATTTGTTAAAAATTCTTTACGATTGATAAAAACCTACTCGTTACATATCTAGCTTACATTAAAATGTACCACACATTAAAAATACAATAATGTAATATAAAAATAGTTGATTGAATGTTTCTTTCAGTTAAGTTTCTTTCAACATAACGTAACATCAGTAACAGTAGGAATGAACGAAAGTGTATTATTGTGTCTTCCAACTACACACCGCCCAGCCCAAATGGGCTTATAAAACACCAACAGAAAGAAAATATTACAATACAAAATGGTACAGAATCAAATCAAATCAAATTGAAAGGTAAAATAGGAGGTAGGTGAGGTAGATACAGACATAGATGAGGTACACACGGTACAGAGATTCAATTCAAATAAAATGTAAGCAAAGAATAATAATGAGTTCCAACCTACATTGGGAATACATTATTATTAAAGATAGCAACATTAAAAGAATATTTTAGGGTATGACCAAAATTATAGGGCCAGACCAAAACAAAGCTGTTGATGAAGCACATGTGACTGAGACATAATATTGTCTCCCCGAGACATACAAAATACATAAATACATGTATTTTAAAAACAATATACAACTGGTAACTATTAAAAAGCAAAAACATTCTTGAGGATTTCTTTGGCAAATCTTACCTCAGACAAGGGCAGCTCGACCTTGACGGTGTCCTCTGTCTTGTCCACGAGTGTCTGGAGTGCCGTGTCGAGCAGCAGCACTCCGTTCAGGTCCTTTCTCATGCCGATGGCGAAACCGTCTGACATCAGCACCTTTTCTGCCAGGGGCAGGTACTCACATCTTAATCTGCTGCCAGGGCGAGCTGGGGACAGGGGAAACACATGTCAGTTTCTTTATTTATTTATTTATTGGCAATGACAACAGGTCAAGACACAGGTTATCGAGGCAGTGGTAACTCATTAGATAACCCACATATACAGACGTGGAGACAAACATGAAATAAGAAATCTACTATAAATACAAGACCTGAAATAAAGATAACATATTAACTGGTAACAAAGTACAGTACTATAATACATAATATAACTATTTATTATATATTATAAGCAAATCAAGACATCCTAACTAGCAGCAATATGTGCGAAGAGTGGGGATACTAATTTATTTAATTGGGATGAATGGAAGGCTATGGGTAAAAGTTAAATATGAATGCAAGTTTAAAAGAAGAATCATGACAAAAGGTGGTTTCTGCAGTGAGCCTTGATGTTTCCATAAACCAAGTACGTATGGATTTGTACTCATTGGCAATGAACCATATTATCATTACAAGGGTCAGCACAGGTGAATATGACCTTAAACAAGATGTTCCACCATAGTGCTCATCTGGTAACAACTGACCTACAAAAAGTACAGACATAGTTACATAATGCAAGAAAAAGAAAAAATGAATTAGAATCTAATCTAATTACGTAATGTATTGCACATAGCACGTCAACAGAATGCCTCATTTCTAGGACGTATTCGCATATTTAAGGACGATATCCCGTCTGTAGTTTTCGAATGTTGTGTCAGAAAACATATCGTCTGCAAATTCCAACGAGATCCATGAAACATCCAGGTTATGTGCAGGTGCGGGATGTTCTGCTGACGTGTTCATGTTCATCATCAGGGATCATGTCGTGAGGTTGGGAAAATAGTTATAAACCAAAAATTATTGACAACATTTCTTTATAAAGAGGAAGAGAAATTGCACCTGCAAAGTATTGACTTAAAAAAATTTCCTCCCTTGCCTTGCCCAATCCTTTCTGTTCAGGGTCTAATACAATGTCACCTCTACAATTATTCTGAGATTCGTTCTGCAAGAGACAATCCTGAGAAATAGACCTAAGATCCCATGACTCATCAAATAATAATAACTGCACACTGGTTTGAGAGCACTTGTACCATCAATGCCAATTGTAAAACTTCTGCTTAGCACAGGGGGGAAACAAATATACCACACAACACTTAAAATTATATACATACCTCTAAATGTATTCTATGGCACCAAGGTAAGGTTGCATGTTAATGTTCAAGCATCAACAGTTATCTATATTTATATGTGCCAATGTATGCCAGTGGATCAATGATAACATCAACAATTTGGTATCAAAGTTCATTACAACATCCTGTCACCGCCACCTGCTGCTCCATTTGACAAACATGTCCGCATTTCTGCACTTGTGTCATCCAAATATTTTCTTAAAGCAATGCAAAAATTTCAGCTGCCGATCTCACACCATTGCCAGAATGCCTACTGGTAATATTGCATGAACTTTATGATACCATTGTATCTGTACCAGTGACACTGTATATGTGTTATCTACACAGTGCAATTACTTGTGTAGGTGAGTCTTTGAGCCAACCTATACTTTTGAATGGCAATGGCTGACAGGATCTCCAATACTGCCAGCCAGGAGGATTTCACATCTGTCCATCTTGGATTTTATGGTTTGGGCAGGATTTGACTAACAAGACTACATGCATATAGATGGATGGTAACATTGACAATGACAGAGAGAGGGCTCATGCATGTACATTTGTACATGTACAACTAGTGCAGTCTTGTCATGATTATTGAACCTATCATAACAAGATTTGCATAAACACAAGGGCATCTACATGTACATATATACTTTTACATTTTGTGTACATGTGGTGCTTTACTTTTATGTGGTGCCTTTTATATTCGTACTAGTATCAAAAACAGTGTTCTTCTATCATTTGAATGTACATGTCAGACAAATGGATTTCCATATTCATGCTGCCTGCCATCAGAGAGACATACATGTAATGGAACACAGACAATTTTACACTACGAATAGTAGGAAATGTAGAAACCTGTTGCAAGGAACACAACTACCGGTAGACAAATAGCTAGGTGACTTGATTGCCAAAGAAAATTATACTTCCCAATTATCGTACATTTCAATGGATACCATTATTGATATCATTATTAGAATTTCATCTCTACCAAGTAGACCTTTTTACAACTTGTGTATTGTGACATTCTTGGCAAGTACATGTACAATGTTGGAAAGCAATAACGGTTTTTAACCAGACATTTGACTACTGAGTACATGTATGGCAAAGATGTAATACTTAATATAATATTCTGATTGAGAATCTGAAATTACACAGGGAACTGACAAGTAATATCAGTATGATTTTTGGCCATATCTTAAATACAATTTCAAGAATTTTTTCTAGCACAGAATAATAGAAAACACATTAAACTTAAGGAATCCCGCCAAAACATATTTTGCTGTTTAGTTATGACTTATCAATATTGACTTCTTCAACAAGCCCTACTAGCAGACTTGTGAAACATAGTGATGCATACCGGTTCACTGGACTTGGATCCGGACTTGTAAGAATGTTTAGGTTCAAGTCCAAAAAAACCTAAAAGTCAAGAACCGAGTCCGGACTTATTGCCATAAAAGACCATTTCACATACCCCTTTTCTTTCCAAACCACCTAAAACCTTCTGTAGATTGTAAAATCTTTGCTGCAAAATGAAGAAAACATTGCTATCGGGCATCATCAAGTATCGGCCTCCATGTTATGTGGCCAAAGTTTCACCCAGACAACATTGCAAGGTTGCCAACATGCAATTTTGTATATGCCATGGGTTTAGGTCCGGACTTACGAGTCCGGAACTGAACCTAAATCTCTGGACTTGAATCCGGACCTGAACCTAAATTGGGTTTAGGTATGCATCACTAGTGAAACATATCATAAAACATACAGGTACAGTGTACCGTATTCCTGACATGAAACAGGCACATTCATACAACAAGACTATAAATAAACATAATGTATAGATATGAGTGGAATCTCAAGTACTAGTAGGTTCAGCAAAACATTCCACTAATATTAAACTATGTTTAAGTTTCAGAAACTGTAAAAATTGGGCCAACAAATGTTATAGTGTACCTCTGCTTTTTTTACAATCATACTATACATTAATTGCACATAACCAATAAGCTTGAGGCAATTTTCTTGATGTCAGTCAGTTTAGAAACAAACTTAATGTTAATCTTTATTCATTTCAATCAACGCATACGCATATACATTGTACTCCTGAATTGTGTGGATCTTACATGATCTTATCAATACATAGTGATACTATTCTGAGAGTATTGAATAAAAGGCAATATATCCCAGCTACCATAACAGTAGGGAAGATGGGGATTGAACATTGAGGTATACGTCGATCAGGATTTAACCTTAGAATTCCCTGCTGCCTAATCCTATAACCAATGCAGATTTGGCGCCAAGCGGCTACCTTAACAGGCTAAAGGTTAAAATGCTGTCATAAAGCACATGATCTGGCAACAGCAATATATTATAATCAAGTCAGAAACAGTGCAATAAATCAATGGCAAGTACATTCTTGTAAACCATTAACAATTTGTCATGTGTTTACTGCTTTTTCTCGTCATTTCAATTTTTACCATACTCATACTGTTGATGATGTTTTTCATCCTGTTACTAGTGTTTAGTCCTTCTTCTATTCATTCAACTTGTTGATGTGCATATGCCTTATAAAGTTGTGTTGTCTTTTCACTTATTTCATCAATGTCTTTGAATATGAATTTGCTTGAAATCATACATTACAACACTGAAAACATTTTGTCCATTAACGTTGTCCAACCACTGGTCTCACAAGGATACAACAATTACACACTATCAACCGATTAACACAAGCAAAATAGCCTCTGTGACCTGTTTATTTAGAAATTGGACACACCCAAATTGATCTCATCAATTCTCTTCCTCAAAATCACCTTTCAATTGGTCTTCATCCAAAACAGATAGACTGCTTACAGGTAAAAGGCATAGATAGAACTTTGGCATTAGGTATGACACCTAATTTATCCAATCATCCTGTATTTGAAAGAAAATTATAAGATCAACCATTATATGATCAACCTGATAAATAATCTCACATACTGACCCTGCATAATCAGGCAAAATGGCCAGTAGGTAGTTCTACAAGGAGGGAACTATCAAAAATAGATTAAGCATCTTTTCTGTTCCAACATGGACACCTTTTATTCTGGCCTTCTTGCATGATATGATTGTACTTCATTGTACTACTAAGTACATTTGCAGTATGTTCCTCCTTTTAGTTTTACTAAGTTTCAGTTCTTGATCTGTGAGTGTGACACCTTTTCTTAAGACAAGTTCAAGAATGCATAGCACAATTACTGATTATTAATCAGGAAATGCACTAGAGAGAACACCAGTGAAAAGTGTGATAGAAATATGCACAGCATTTGTATCAAACATTTTCTAATTCTGATAATTAGCTCAAACTGTCAAAGTAAAACCATTATTTGGCATGGCAGCTTTGTAGGCATCCAGAGGGGGGCTTTACCCTGGGCCGACTTTTGACATGCAAGCTAAGGCTTACATATCTAACCCCTCTGACATGTCGACACAGAGGACCTTAACTCGCAGTACTTTATCAATGGAATACAGTACACCTTACCATTTCAACATGGCTGAATCATGCTTTGTGATCATACTCTATAACGATACGACATCCCATAATAAATGCAGACCAGTCATATGTCTGCTTTGGCAAATGTAGCTTGTATACATGAAGCTGCTTGAAGAATTGTCGAATTAGGTATAATCAACTGTCCTTAGTTGACCTCATACTGTTATTATGTATCGGAGTGAACATGGAAATAGACACATACAAACCATGACTTGCATAACTTAAGAGAATAGATGACCACGATTTCTCTTTTTTTTCCTTTTAGAAAACTCATCCATTCCATAAGGTGTACAGTTTAGTGCTTCATGATGGAACATAATTTCAACCCTTCCCAACATGCAACATGCTTGAAGCAGCCTTGATGACAAAATTTGGGACATTCATAATTATAACTAAGACACTGGGGGAAGTATTGTCGACAAATTCTTTTGACAGAACTGAGCTGGTTTGTCACACTGGTTCTTCCCTTTGTGGTTAATATCCGTATTTTGCCCATTCCGGCTCAAAATTAATATCTTGAGGCAATACCAGGTGCGTACGCCAGGACCATGATTCAGTTGTTTCGGCAAGGCAGACCTGTATCATTCGTAGGGATCTAACTTGTTTACCTGCGATGCTGGAGCATTGTGTAATCGTCTCATTGCTACGAAGGTATCAAATATTGGGGATGATCAAAGTAAATTATGATTCCGTGTTTCCGATTCTGCCTACAGGCGTTTCCAGGCACACGAGACATGGGTTCGGAAAAACCAAAATTTTATAAGACCGAACGCGAACGTACCCGGAAGAAATTATAGGCTTACCTCCGAGATCTGACTTGGTTAGAACCGCCCCGGAGTTGACATCGATGACTTCAACTCCTGTTTTCGTCGCCACCAGTATCGTGTTGAGGGTGGGGTGGTAGGACACGCCTGAAACCCCCTCCCCACACGTCAGACACCCCTCTTGGGTGACAAACCACTCGGTGGCCGCCATCTTGGTCTCTCACTATTGAAGGTGACGTCATGGAACCAACCATGTTTGTTCCAGAGGGGGGTCAATCTCGTATACCGTATGGTTTTGTAGTTTCGAATATTAAAATCTATCATATATATCTCGTGGATACATGATTCGGCAAATAAATTTGTTGAAAACAATTCAACGTGGATGAAAAAAATAGGAGGAAGGAATTTCTGCAAAATAAGCGTGACACGGAATTGCGTGTAAAAGAAGGGGTTTGAATGCGGAGATCTTATCTAATCTCCAAGCAGATGTAGGGTGCGGCTCAAATGCGAGGTTTTGGAACTATTGATGCGGTTTTCTAGCGGTCCGCTAGGGGGAATGCAAAAAGGGGGAATCGTGGACCACTTGTCTACAGAAACACGCGTAAAGCACTGAGCCATTGCCTGATTGCAGATTGGAGATTTCAAAGCTCCTGGCTTTTAATATAATACTGGGGCTCCGTTACTTGAAAATGTGTGGAGAGATGTGGCAATGTATCAATGCAGGTCCTTGAAGGTCAATATTGTTGGGAGATATTCTAATCAACACCACAGCACATGCGTTTACCGAGAAAGGTATCATATATTAAAAAGTAAGCTTCATCTTGATGTGTCTTGGCCAAATTATTCAACGGTGCTACATACAGTAGATTACCTTCTACCCCGTTAGTAAAATCGAGCAACATTGTCCATTGGCATTGTGATATTCCGCCCATTCCTCTTTGTTCTTTCTCATTTTACGCGTTTTTACGCTATAACCTCCTTGGAGGAATCAACTACTATTTAAATGTGCACTTACTCCCTCTAGCGATTTTAGACTGAATAGCGATAGCCTTGTAATGATAGGTGCAGCCACGACATCTCCGTGTTAGAGTGCGATATAGAACTAGTCAAAAGTTTACCCCCTATCTTGCACAGGATTTAGCATCGAATAACGACTTAGTTGTGTATTGTTAGTTTTTTGACGCTCAGTACTAGTATTCTAGGATCATAGTACGTTTTCAAACGGTTTACAAATCATAACATTACTCCAACACAGGAGCCAATGTATCATAGTAACGCATAATAAAAGTTATTATAATCATAGGAAGACCTGTTCTTCATTGTAATAATCGTACAGCTGAATTCCTGCCTTTCAGTTCACAGAAGTTGGAATTGATCGTTAACCTTAAAAATACACATTTAGCCTTTCTAAAACCTGTACTTGAACAAAGATGATGATGATGACTGGTTTATATGCAACACGTGCTCAGACATACCGCTGCAGCCTTATCTGGCTGAATTAGGGCATGCTACAAATCTTATGTCCATCACAATTCTATACCCTAATAGACAAGGTACTATTACTAATTCATCAAAATCAATTATACAAACATAGGCTAAAAGACAAGGTGCGTACTGGTTAACAATCATAAAATAACTTTACAGTAAAAGAGACCTATTGATTGGAATCCATTCCACTTTACTATACTAGGCCAAAAGTCGCACCAATCTCGGATTTAAAATCTTTAAAAGCGCCCTGAAAACAATGTCAGATAGAGACACGTCAGATCATGCGATTGGCACTCATGCACATGAATATACATATATATCATCGACGGCCAATTGGGTTCCCTCTGAGGACCAATCAAAACACGAGGATTCCCCGGATCCGCCTCCGGCAGGTAAAACAGGATCTGCAGGAGAGATCACAGGTATTCTCCGGGCTGGTGCACTACAGGTAAGACGGGGTGTGCGCCCAGAAGGTGTGTGTACGATTTTGCCCTATCAGACCTGTCTTCTATCTGTTGACAGCGTGTTTTCGCTTCGCCGGATAGGTAAGGAAGTCTTTGTCGTATTGCCATTAAATCATCGGGGCTAGCAGGACTCAGACAGCGATACTAGTACCCCCTCGTAAGCACTTTTGAGGTTAGTGAGCATTCCCTACATGGTGAGGGCGGTCGTGTGGATGGACGCAGTAGTCTAGCAAGTGTACGTACGTGTATTTCTGACTTTCCCACGGTACTAAGAAGACTGGACCTGGAGTCTCTCCATGAAAACTTGTAGGAAACTGAGGACCGATATAATCTGTAGGTGTGCTGGGTGTATTGTACAACACAGCACAGCAAGGTAAGACAGTTTCTTTTTAATCAGCTCAGTCGTCCTGCAGTCAACCTGTCAAGGTGTCAAATCACACGCATGTTCGCAAATATCTATATCTGACTGATATCATTTGAATCTGACAACTACTTTTATGCCCAAATCTGCATAAACCTGGCCAACTGCATCAACCTGGAAATCTCTGTTCTTTTCCCAGTCATTGTGTATGTATTGTAAACAGAGAAGTAACGTCGGCATTCACACGACCTCCCACCTGTTGAAAATGTACACACAGTAAGTGTGAATCGACACAAGGGTCGCTGCCTGTACGTGCTGAAGTGCTCCGTAATGCTGCTGTAATCTCAGTTCCAGTCCCAGAAATACGATGTTCATACATTAGACATGTATTTAGCTTTGTTAGATCTTTAGTTGTAGAAGACCATAAAAAAGTCCCTGTACTTTTTGTTGTGTCAATAAAGAATCTCATTATATTCATCGTAGCCATGCTATGATAGTCATGTTCGGCAACAAGGATAATCAAGGGAAACTGCATTGTGAATTTGTGACCATCGGCACCTGACGTGGCGATTCGTTTGGTAGCAAAGCGGACGATGCAGTGTGTCTGACCAAGGACAAGTGCTATTGTGTTTTCCTGCTGTAATGTAATGATATGCGCCTGTTATGTAATGATAATGATAATGATGATGCGCTCCGATTTCAGATCTGACCTCGGACGACGTGCACCCGAGAACCACTGACAAGCTCTCGCCTCCCAAGAAATGTTGTCAACACTGAAGCTGGTTGCTACGCTACAAGGGAACTAAAAACCGAGACAACGCAAACGTTGAGGTCGACATAACATACATAAAGCGCACTTGGCATTCTCTATTTGCATCTGGAGTGGCGTGTCGGATGACCGCCGACATTTTTGACATGCTTCGGAGGACAGACACGACTGGAACCAATCACGTCAGGCGTCCTTAAACCCGCGCGTGACGTCAGGCGCACGTCGCTTTCACCTGGGCCGTCACCCCGCTGAAGTTCGTTGCTTTTGAAGTATTTTCTAGTACGTAAATCCCAGGTTCTGTCGCCGCCATGTCGGACACAGAGAAGGAGACATGTTTCCTCAACAGGCGGACGGCCAGACTGTTGGTGATCATCGTTATTTACACCATGTACATTGTCGTGGGCGCGATCATCTTCTGTGCTATAGAAGGGCCGGAGGAGAGGCAGACGGGACAGAGGGTCCGGGATTTCAGGTGAGAAAACTCTCGTGCTCCGGCATTGGTAGAGTGCTCGCTTTGTAACCGGGAGGTCGTGAGTTCAAACCCCGGCCGGGTCATACCAAAGACTTTAAAAATGGTACACACTTCTTTCTCTGCTTAGCACTCAGCACATATGAGAACGAGTGTGGGAACGGTCAAACACACAGCACTACCAGCGGACTAGCCCCCTGCTGCAGTGCCTTGCACAACTGTGTGTCGCCCAAGGGCTACGGAAATGGAGATGGGAACCACCCCTATGCTCTGCATAGAGTGTAACGGGACCTTTTTTTTTAGAACATGGAAGCAATAAGAGGGTAACGCTGGAAAAAGCCTTGATTTCTTTCTTTCCATGGCATATGTCACCTCATGATGGCCTTGGACCAATCATTTACACTAGCTAAGGACGATTAAAGAGGCGGGCCGATTATACTTACGTAACCAATGTTAGTGTCGTCTCAATGATTCTTGCGTTTTCTGCCCAGACTGAGCAGACTGGGTTATTTCCTCTTTTAAATTGTACATCTTTGCAGTTATATGGCAATCACTCTCGTGATCTTTATTTGCAATCGGATACATATTCATGTACAGATACAGATTCATGTACAGATATACAGATACAGACTTCCCGAGTAGGATTACCGTGTCAGTCCCTACACCTGAGTGATGGTCACAGTTGACACGGTGGCCTTCGCGTGGATCGCGTGGATTTGTTTAAGGTGGATAACAGTTATAACATGCCAGAATAATCATCATGGTGCCCGAAGGCATGCAAAGAAACAAGAAAACTTATGTGCACTAAATTTCAGTGTAGATACATGTGTGTTTAACAGTTGAATCTAGCCATCCACATATGCATATCACGAACTTCAATAGACCCCATGCACTTACCAGTGCTTAAAGTTATATACAATAGAGTGGGGTTTCTAGAAAGAAATCCTTGTGTAACTAGCTGATCACAAACTTGTACCCAATGCCAGTGTCATTTCAATGATCCTAGAAATGTATGAACACCATGCAATGTCCATGCAATGTCCTATCTAGAGCGGGTTTTCTGGAGAGGAAACCCGTGTGTGACAGATGCGGAGTTTGTCAATTGAGGAGTATTTTTCAATAAGTTCTTGTAATGTGTTATCACCATGATCCAGTTTTCCGTTTTCAGAGCGCGTTTTCCGGAAAGAATTCCTTGTGCAAACTGATAACAACATAATAAATATATAGATAAATTTGTATCCGATGTTGTTATTAGCATTTTACAATCATTGTTCTTGTAATGCATGCTGTGTTATCACTACTGATATTGCACATGTATCCACAGTAGTTAAATGTCGACGACTAAGCTTGGCCGGTCATGTAGTACGTAGCAGTGAAGAACCAGCCAGTAGGCTTCTACTCTGGAACCCTGATACAAAGAGAACATGACACTTAAGAAACTTATTGAAACTGAAACTGGCTTGGAGGGACATGAACTGATCTCTGTGATGAATGACAAACAGTTTTGGCGAGCTAACTTTGTATGCTCCACCTCTATTATGGAGGATGAAAGATGATGATGATGATGATGATTGCACATGTTCCGTTTCCAGAGCGGGTTTCCTGGAGAAGAACCAGTGTGTGACAGACGCGGAGCTCGAGGAGCTGATACTGGAGGTGATCCACGCCACCCACCGCGGCGTGGCGGTCCAGAGGAACGTCACCGGCCCGCCCGCCTGGTCATTCGCACCCGCTATGTTCTTCGCCGGGTCAACCATCACTACTATAGGTGAGGAGTGAATGTTTGAATGAATGAAGGGTGGGTGGATGGATGAATGAATGAACGAGTGAATGAAGACATTCATACCCACTGGGACCCTCCACGCGACCCACCGCGGCGTGGCGGTCCAGAGGAACGTCACCGGCCCACCCGCTATGTTCTTCGCCGGGTCAACCATCACTACTATAGGTGAGGGGAGGAGTGAATGTTTGAATGAATGAAGGGTGGGTGGATGGATGAATGAATGAAGAGTGGGTGAATGAATGAATGGTGGATGGATAAATGAATGAAGGGAGGGAGAAAGGAATGGAATGGATGGATGAATGAAAGGTGGATGGATGGATGGATGGATGGATGAAGGAAGGAATGAAGAGTGGATGGATAAATGAATAAAGGAATGGATGGATGGATGAATGAAGGGTGGATGGATGAATGAAGAGTGGGTGAATGAATGAATGAATGAATGAATGAAAGAATGAACGAGTGAATGAAGACATTCATACCCACTGGGACCCTCCACGCGACCCACCGCGGCGTGGCGGTCCAGAGGAACGTCACCGGCCCACCCGCTATGTTCTTCGCCGGGTCAACCATCACTACTATAGGTGAGGGGAGGGGTGAATGTTTGAATGAATGAAGGGTGGATGAATGAATGAATGAAGAGTGGGTGAATGAATGAATGAATGGATGAATGAATGAATGGTGGATGGATAAATGAATGAATGAAGGGAGGGAGGGAGAAAGGAATGGAATGGATGGATGAATGAAAGGTGGATGGATGGATGGATGGATGGATGAAGGAAGGAATGAAGAGTGGATGGAGGGTGGATGGATGGATGGATGAATGAATGAAGGAGGAAGGATGAATGAATGAAGGGTGGATGGATGGAGGGTGGATGGATGGATGGACGGATGAATGAATGAAGGAGGAAGGAATGGATGGATGGATGATTGAATGAATGGTGGATGGGTGGATGAAGGAATGAATGAAGTGTGGATGGATAAATGAATAGAGGAATGGATGCATGGATGGATGGATGGATGGATGGATGACTGAATAAATGCATGAACAAACGAATGAATGAAGACTTTTATTGTACAGTAGACTGCGCATCTACATATAAATGCGAGTAAGATATGTATAGAATTTCTATATATGTATATGTAAGGTTTACACAACAATGCCGTGTCCGGTACAGACTGTTGATCAGCTTGTCCTGTGCTCTCTGCACGTATTTGTTCATCTGCTACTTCATAGTCTGTGTCCGGGTCCGTGGTCGATTTTCACTTCTTTACATCACCGACTCTCCAGTAAAGTCGTGTCATGGGATAAATAAGAGAAATACAGTGTGTCCGGTTTCCACCCGAGGGTCTGATATCTTAGGCCATGTTGATTTGATTATATGGATAACATCCTCCGGGAGCCCCAAAACTGATGCGCGCGAGCGAATAAAAAAAAGTTTTGCAAAAAAAAAAAAATTGTTTTCATTATGAAATCTACGTGGTCATGAGGGTTGAGCAAATGGCACAGAATATGGTTTGGCGAATAATCTAGTCTTCAAGTTCATTTCTTTACAATTTCGTCTTTTTTTCGTTTGATTTTGGCATTCTACGACATTGGTATAGTTTTTATTAATTTTTTTTGTAACTTATGGTATATTTTTGCTCATTTTGCAACTGCTTTGTACGATTTACAGTAAGGTTGAAAACTTTTTTTTTTTGGAAACGGCCGAAAATTCATGCGCGCGCGGATGTCATCCATATAATCAAATCAACATGGCCTAAGAAATCAAGTAGCTTGCTTTTCTGGCGCCCCTCTCGTTCTCTCTTTCTGTCTGTCTCTTTCTCTTTCACCGTCGGTCCGAAAATACTATGACTTAAACTGCGCGAAATGGTACAGTTCGTTTACAAATCATCTCACACCAGTATCGTGACTGTGTTATAACTTGAGAATTGCATTATTACGCGCTCTCAATGTTACAGAAATGGACACGGGACATAAAAGGTACCAAGACAGAAATCTGTGCACCACCTATTTTTTTAGATAAACCTCAAAAGATACTGCCTTGACTTAACAAAACGTACAAGGACTTTTGTATGGTCTTCTACAAGTAAAGATCTATCATAAACAAAGCTAAATACATGCATGTATGAATAAACTGGTCGTCCTACGTACAGAATATATGTTAGCGGCAACAATGAAGGTTTAACTACTGGTATTCTCTAACATGTAGTCTCTAAGATTTAAACAGCCAAGAGCCCTTCGCCCGCCGGTCAAAATTACCGCTACGGGGAGTTGAGCCCGAGGGGAATTTGGCTGGCCCTAGACAAGTAGGGACAGCCAAATTCCCCCCGGCCTAGACTCCCCCGTAGCAGTAATTTAGACAGGCGGGCGAAGGGCTCTTGGCTGCCGAAGGGAAAGGGTTAGTGGCCCAAAAGGAGTTTGGCACCCAAGGTACTCTCCCTGCTGCTGTTCGGTATACATGGTGCAATAAACGTGACTTAACTCATGCCGCACGTTTCCCGCAGGTTACGGTCACGTCGTGCCGCTGTCCGACGGCGGGAAGATCTTCTGCCTGGTGTACTGTACTGTCGGCATCCCGCTCACCCTGCTGCTGTTCGGCATGCTCGTCTCCAGGATGAACACAGTCTCCTACAGCGTCCTCGAAATGCTGCACAAAAGGTCAGTATTTGGGACAAAAAAAAGCTTCGGCGAGAGCAATTTCGGCAACGGGATTCGAGTAGCCTGTGTGTCCCAAAGCATAAATGGACAGAGAAAAATATCCACCGGGTCCTACAGGGGACTAAAATCTGCACAAAAGATCAGTAAGTACAGCAAAAAGAGCAATTAACGTTAAAGCTGCAGTAGATTTTCGGTAAATCTACGTGTGTCTTAAAACATCAATAGGCCGTGAGTTTCTAATGAGACAAATGATAACGGCAAGTCATTGATCCACGGTCAGTGTCCTACAGGGTCCTCGAAATGCTACACGAAACTCAGGCGCTTCGGCGAGAGTTGAAGCTTTAGTAGATTTTCGGCAACGGGTTTCAAATAGCGTGTGTGTCCCAGGGCATAAATAGACATAGATATTCTGCACAAAAGGTAAGTATTTACAGCAAAAAGAGCCGCTGTTCGGCGAGATTAATTAATGTTAAAGCTACAGTAGCTTCTCGGCAAAAACATCAAAATATAGATACTACATGTAGTATGTACTATACGAAAAAAAAAAACATAAGAAAAGTAGCATGCATTTGTAAAGCAAATGCATGATATTTACCTTCATATGGCCTGACCCAACTACTTGCGTATTCTTTACTCGAACCAACTCCTAAGCTTGTTCTGCTCATTTAGCCTCTCCAACGCTGCTGCAACTTGCTACATTTGTACATAATGTAACATAAGGTTATAACGTAATCAAACACCAAAGGGTGTCCGCTGCGGCACCCGTTACCATGGCGACAGACGTCTGGTCAAGGTCATATGATTAAAAACGTTCCCATACTAAACCTGGTGTCCTTCCGTTCATTTGCAGGTTCGGGGAAAAGGCGGACCCTGGGACGATGAGGATAGTACACTTCGCCATCGTGGCGTCGGTCAGTTGCACGACGGTCATCTTCCTGCCTGCGCTGGTCTTCACCCTGGTGGAGGTGGACTGGAGCTACTTCGACGCCCTGTACTACTGCATCATCTCCCTCACTACCGTGGGGCTGGGAGACTATGTCCCGGGGGAGAACATTATGCAGAAACAACGGGACCTGTACAAGATCTGCAGCACTGGTCAGTGGGACATCTTTTCGTACTAAAACATTTTTAGACCTTAGATCCGCCCGCAACTTTGTTGCATCGGTCGACTTGGCGAAGGACTTTCTCCAGAGTTTGCGATTTTTACCGCTAGATCTACTGCCATTTCTTCAAATAAATTTAGCCTATTATATATAAGTTCCTTCCCTAAGATTTTTAAATGCGCTGAAATTATTTTTAAAGATGACTTAACGTTAACGTTACTACTAATTCTAAAGAGAACGGCCGCGCGCGGATCCGGATACTTATTCTGTGCACATGCAGTTCAATTCTATTCAGACGATTTGAAATGCAGGTCGACTAGTGTTTTGATTGTGAATATACTGCATTCGATCAGTACAATTTTTCAAGACTGCTCAACGATAAACAAAGAGCAACGTTACTCCTTAACCTCCTTTTTTTCGTTCTGATGTCCTGTAGTTTCCATTTTTCCAGTTTATCTAGTGTTCGGGCTGGCCGTCATGCTGTTGGTTCTGGACAACGCCTCGCGCTTCCCGGAGTTCCGAGCCTATCTGTCGTCCCTCTCATGTCTGGACGACCATGCCATACCGAAAGGTAACAACTTGTTGTTGTTGATTCCTAGCATTATCCAAACTGATATACTGATCTGTGCACTCTTTCACCACCATACCATATGTCTAGTATTTGTATTATCCATTCGGAGTGCTCATACCTGTGCGTCGCATTTGTACCCTTGCCTTTATCACAAAATGAGCACAATGTACCGTAGATACATGTAATTGCTATTGAATCATTTACCAACATGATGAAATGTTCTTTATTCACAACCACCTGTTTAACAAGAACCAACGTTTCGAGGACCCTCTGTCATCTCCATCAGGGCAATTATAATTATGTAATTTCTCTGATGGAGATAACAGCTGGTCATTGAACAAGTGGAAGTGAATAAAGAACTTTTCACACAATGCTATTTCAATAGTCAAACGTTGCAGGTAGATACATGCATGATCACTAGCCCTTATTCGTAAGTGCCTGGTCTCTGGTCATCACAGATCACTCAACATCTTGCAGCAGTGAGGGACACTATAGACTTTTAAAAAATCTGAAGGACACTATAGACTTTAAAAAAAAATCTTATTGCCTCTTTGTACTTGTATCCTAAAGTTGTTTCACTCAATTATTGTCTATATTTTAATGTGTTATCAATATTTTATACAATACGTCATTATCGGATATACTTCTTTTAACACTTAATCTTTTAACGCTAAAATGTTACAATTGTTAATGTACATGTACATGTAATTTACAACACAATTCAGGCTGTTTCAGCCTGCAATGTTGTTTTGATGAGTAAAGTTTAAGTTTAAGTTTAATCACATGTAGCTGAACGGCAAATTTCCCCAATGGTCATGACGCCAAGCACCACATTTTCTCTTCCCCCCCCCCTCCAGCCAACGGTACATCCCCAGAACTGTTGAGGCAGGAGGAACAGGAAGAGGACATCCAGCTGAAGAACAGCGTGCAGAGGGATTACAAGTCCCTGGCTGTGGCTGGACACTGACAGACAGAATATATCATGTATAATGTGTAAAGACTCTGGACATTTGTTAGTCTAGATAGCAGGAACATGCAGAGGGATTACAAGTCCCTGGCTGTGGCTGGACACTGACAGACAGAATATATCGTGTGTAAAGACTCTGGACATTCGTTAGTCTAGATAGCAGGAACGTGCAGAGGGATTACAAGCTAGATAGCAGGAACGTGCAGAGGGATTACAAGCTAGATAGCAGGAACGTGCAGAGGGATTACAAGTCCCTGGCAGTGGCTGGGCACTGACAGACAGAATATATCGTGTATAATGTGTAAAGACTCTGGACATTTGTTTATATATATAGGTAGCAGGAATATGCCTCTCAATGTTATGTTTACCTTCAGAAAAAAAGGGGTCAATGACCTGGACCAGACGCCTGTTACCATGGTAACCGGTGATGCAGCAGACATCATGTGAAATGTTGAATCATATTATGCAGGACAGAGTTGGGTAAGAATATTAAGAATAAAGAGAGCAGTAGTTTGTTGAGCTAGACCGTCCCCATGTGATTATGCATTTGCTTTGCAAGTGTTATCCCTCTAGTATTATGTTATATCACTTCTGTTCTTTGCTGTACGTACTTCTGAAATGATGTACATCTTACTAGTTTTTTTTTTTGTGTGGAACAGTAATTTATTTTGCCTTAGGATATCTAAGAATCTCCCAGAAAACAAAATGACTTCCGTGAATTACACTTTGTCTTGCAATTGTTAGAACTGAATTTCCCATATTGAATTGTAAGAGTACCCATATTAGTCTAGCTTAACAAATATTCCTGTGTATTTCACTTTGAGAGTGAAGCACATTGGAAATTTATCATATATATTTAAATCAGCTACTTTAATCTATCCAATAATGCTGAAGAGCACTAAGAGAATTAATACAATAAAAGTGGAATAATCTTATGATAAAAGTATGTACTTTGTAAGTTTAGGCTGTGTGTACCAAGTGTTGCATGTATTGTGCTTAGGCCACACCAAGTAAATTTTATGGATGACGTCCGCGCGCGCATTGATTTTGGCCTGTTCCTAGAAAAAAAACAAGAAATTCCGTTTCCTGTAACTATGACTAAAGAGTCACGACAGTGCCGCAAATAGGTTTGTACGGACTAAAGCTTATAAAGCATCAAGCAAGACTTCCATTAGGAACTCAGTTTGGTACATGCTGCCACATTTGAAGAAACTTGCTGACCGCTCCATCTATCTCCCCAAAGCACAAGACGACAACTGCTGTTCCACCTGATTTATTGCTGTTTTGATGATGAATAAAAGACTTCTTGCTTGTTACACTGTGTCACCTCATTCAATTTGTGTCCTAACATTTGTCGTCTCTTAGTATATTTCTAATCTAGGCATCTTGTTTTTTAGGGCCCTTCTTGTTTTTTTTCGCCCTCTCGCATTAGATTTAGGGTCTCCAAAGGACGTCATCCATAAAATTTACTTGGTGTGGCCTTATGGCACATCAGATATCCATTTTTCCAACTGATTAATGCATACCACTAGGATCCAGGAGCGCCATACATGTGTGTACTATAGATAATGTTACTTAGGCCATGTTGATTTGATTATATGGATGACATCCTCCGGGAACCCCAAAACTGATGCGCGCGTGCGAATAAAAAAAAGGTTTGCAAAAAAAAAAGTTGCTTTCACAATGAAATCTACGTGGTCATGAAGGTTGAACAAATGGCACAGAATATGTTATGGCGAATAATCTACTCTTCGAATTCATTTCTTTACATTTTTGTCTTTTTTCCTTTGATTTTGGCATTCTACGACATTGGTATCGTTTCTAAATGTTTTCCTTGCAACTAATGGTATATTTTTGCTCATTTAGCAACTGTTTTGCACGATTTACAGTATGGTTGAAAACTTTTTTTTTTTTTTGGAAACGGCCGAAAATTCATGCGCGCGCGGATGTCATCCATATAATCAAATCAACATGGCCTTATTTAGCAGAAAAATCCATTGAGTGTGTCAGGGGTATCTGACTGAGAAAAGAGTGGATATTCCCACCAAGACCTGCTTTACTGTGTCTGTCCAAGGAAGTTACAGATAGACCTTCACTCTTGTTTTCTTTAACACTACAATAAGTTAACACACAGCTGACGAAAATAAGAAATATTCAAGACACACTTAAGTTACCACTTTACTGCTTTCATAAATGTAAACACACAAACCACAGGTGAAGAACACAGCCAAACTAAGGAGCTCATTGGTCAAACCAAATATACATTTAATAGTTACACCTCACTCCAAAGTGCATCAAAATAAGCACTCAATTTCATGTGCAAAGGCATCAAATTTTACAAAAATTAATTATCTTATTAGGAAAGAGAGAGTAGCCAAAAATGTACATATTTCATTGACAAAGTAATACTAGTACATAATCAGAAGATATTATCACCCGTGGCTTTGTGCAACTATAATAATCTATAGATTGCATTAATAGATGGAAAAGTTGTCAAAATGATAGAGTATGTTACAAATGCATTGTAAAATCAAATGTTAAACATAACTATACATATCCTATTTTGTATGGTATACAAAGTTCACTGTGACAATTATGGTTCTGTTGGCTTCATTTCTTTTTCATAATTTACATCTCATCATCGTCCATTCCAAAGTCATCCTCAGGAAAGTCCCCAACAGTGACGAAAACAGGCTTGACAAACCCTCCATACTTGGGAGGGCATTCAAAATATCTCTTTCCAGCCACGCTGCAAACAAGAAGAAAAGACGTTACTTTATCACTTGCCACAAATGTTATACAGAAATTATTACACTGTATACCTAAGAGTTAGGCAAGTGTAAGGTGAAATTAAAATCTGACAGTACTGCACCTATTCTAGAAAAGTTAAAGGCCCTTCTGAACCAATTCTGACAGTACTCTGAGCTGCCAAGATATTAAGTACAAGAGTTAATCACAGATAATCTTTAGAGTGTAGATTATGGATCTATTTGTGGATCTTTTATGTTTTGACAGGCATTAGGAAGGTCAGTTGAAGTGTTGTAACCTCCTGTACAGTACAACTTGCTCACACTAGCTAGATGTACCTACCTGCCATCATTCTTTCCCAGTGGCTCGTCATACTTCACCCCAACCCACCAGCCTGGTTTGAAGTCCGTCATTCCTGCCAGAATCAAATAATATTATAGACACCTAGTTCTACAAATGCACATCATTTGCAGCTATAAGGTATAGTCATGGGGGTCAAGGGGAACTCCAGGTCAATTCCAGAAGGATAAAAGAAAAGCTGCAGTCACATTTTAATGACAAACTACTTGACAGCCAATCGATTTGAACAGCACGATTACGAAGTTTCTACATATAATATTAATAGTTATGGCATTTATATACACCTCAATTCTTCCAAGTTACCTGCATTTGGTGAAATAATGGTGTCTTCAGCAGTAATACAACACAGTTGACAGAAAAAGTTCCAATTACACTAGTATATTTACCTTAATTCTGCAAGAAACACATTGCAGCACACATTACTTGTAAATGTTGTAATGTATATACATACACACACCATCCTTGAAGTGACTTACCTACATACATAACTTCCCCCCTTTTTGTGGGCGCATTGGCTGTTTTGACCTCACACCGTGAGCCTACTGAGATGGCCTTGGCAGCCTCCTCCTCCTCTCTTTCCTTCCGTTGTCTCTCCTCCTCCTCACGCGCCTTCTCCTCCTCACTCTTCTCTGCAAACCTGCCCAGCTTGTTTCTCTTCTTCCACCCCAGAACAGAGTCTGAAGAACAAGAGCAACAAACAGTTACATGTACTAACATGCAAACAAGCCATATTCTTTTACACATATCAATGAAGATTAGACATCCAGGTAATGAGTATAACAACTAGTCCTACTACAGGCTCTTGTTCTTCCCTCTCACCATCTAATAGTGGAATGATCTTGCGCCTAGTGTAACACAAGAAAACAGTTACTCAAGAAACTGGATAGATTTTGAAAACTGACAGACGTTTCAGGTAGCATTTACTACTTTTCATCAGTGACTGTCACTGATAAAATTGAGTGGATGCTACTTAACTTTAAACGTCTGACAGTTTTCAAAAATTTATCCAGTTGCTTGTGCAACATGGTACAAACTTGTGTTTACTCACTTCCAAGGTTCTAGCAGTGGATAGTACAACAATAGTCTTTACCTTGTTTCTTCTCATAGTCCTCATCCTTCATCTCATACTTCTCCACTTTGGAAACATCCTCAAAGTCTCCTACTTGAATGGAAGAATCTTTGTTCACAACCTATTAGAACAGAAAAAAATTTGCAATACAGGACAAGTGTCAAGCACTTTAAATGCTAATATCAGGGAGTACACATTGTACAGTATGTTGTAATACTAGTCTGGACAGGCAGCAAATGGTATCTTTGTGGTTAAAGATGATATTGATCCCAATAAGAAACATTTACCTGCAGTCAAACCTGCCCAAGATGGCTGTCCAGGGGACCAAGGTAAAGTGGTCTTCTTGGACAAGTGGCCTTCCACTTATGGATTTAGAATATTTGGAACTGGGAAAAGTGGTCATTATAGCTGTTTGGCTGTACCTTATCCTTAGGCCACACCAATTTAATCTCTTGGTTAATGGATTTGCCCGCTTCATTTTTTCTGATTTGCAAATAAAAATAAAAATTCAGAATCAACTGCAAAATGCTCATATTTTGCCTTTAACAGTTGAAATCAGTCCTTTTCATCCTGGTTGTTACAGTTATTCCATCTTTCAATGCAATGGTATCATTAAAAGTTAAAAATTCATTGTTTAAATTTTGAACAAGCCTGGTGTGTTGACTTCATGGCTCCTATTGTACCGTTTTGGGCCATAATAGGATGCCTAGGCCTGTTTTTATTTTTTTTATTTTTTGGCCCGCCCGCTCCATTATTTTTCTAGAAAAATCCGTTAACCAAGAAATTAAATTGGTGTCGCCTTAAACAAAATCCCTTACATGAATCCTCATGCCGTCATCCACGGGATAAGACCCCAGCAGGGCGTCGTTGTTGTCCATCGTTGTGACCAGTTTGTTCTCCTTTGTGAAGACCTGCAGGTCCATGTGTGCTGCTGGGCAGCCTGTGATCAGCTCAAGCTTCATCTGAAATAATCAAATACACATGTTTTTACAGTATAACAAACAAGAATTCAGAGACTTCAGGCCTCCATGAAATACTTACTACCGGTAGTCTTTTTTTCCGTGCTAGTGAAGCAACAACAGTAGTCAAGGAGGTCATGTAATGAAAAAGCAGCAAGCTCTACCAGAGATATAGATGTGGGTAATGACTTTCTCCCACCAGGATGGACTGAACAAACCAGATCCACTACAACCTGAACTAAGGGCCATGCGTGGCCGTGGGGTCGTGTGGCGCAATCGGTAGCGCGTTCGGCTCACACCCCAGAGGTCGTGGGTTCGAACCCCACCCATGTCACCGATCTTGTGCCCTTGGGAAAGGCACTTTACACGACTTTCCTCACTTCACTCAGGTGGAAATGAGTACCTAGCTTCGGCTAGGGACGTCCCTCGGATAGGACATTAAATGGAGGTCCCGTGTTTGGGGAGAGCCACACCCCACGCACGTTAAAGATCCCACCACACCTTTCGAAAAAGAGTAGGGGCATGCCCCGGTGTGCGATGGTACAAACACTACTGTATGGAGTTGGTGATTCACTTCAAATCACCCGAATGGAGGCCTGGCGAACCTCTGTTCCGTATCAGCCACATGGTGATTACATCACCACACATGGTGATTACATCATCACCCGGACGGAGGCGTGGCGAACCCCGTCTTGTATTAAGCTAACGAAAGGGTATGCCACCTCGTAAGGGGCGGTATAACCCCGACCAATACGGTCGACCGATGATGATGATGATTAAGGGCCATGCATAAACACAGACACACACACACAGATACACCCACACAGAGACACACCTAAAAGAGGGCCTGCAAGCCCTTTTTCGTAAAGCGTAATCAGGCCGTTTTAGACTTCGTAATTCGTAGGCAGCCTCCGCAAAAATCAACGTAATTCGTAATTGGACATTAGCCACAAATCGTAAAGTCGTAATCAGCTCTGAGACTTTAACGTAATTCGTAATAGGCGGCGAAAATTTTGCGTAATTCGTAATCACTACCCCCCCTTGCAGGCCCTCCTAAAACAATATTTACCTTATTTTTCATGGAGGTAACCACTGTACATGTATCAAATGATCTGATAATTACTTCGGCTGCTCAGACAAATTTTATCATCACCAAACTTACTGTGGACTTAACATCGGTCAGTCAAGTTACCTAACTGTAACCAATAATTGAACATTCAACAAAGCTACTTTGGTTCGGTTTCTGTATCTGTATCTGTATCCGTATAGCCGGTATAACCGCCTTTCGGCGTAACACACCAGCTTCGCAGGCACGCGGCGCGGCGGCAGCTGGCTACTAGTATATTACACCGATCGACTTGTTACACCTAACCCTTGAACTTCTAGCTCTAGACATTGTTTAAAGCTATCTATTGACAGTGCCCCTACTGTACTTGGTGACAGTGAGTTCCACTCTGCGATAGTTCTTGGAAAGAATGAATTCTTGAACACCTCAATCCTTGGTTGATAACTCTGGTACTTGAATGCGTGGCTATTTCTTGTTCTCTTCTGGGCTGGTATTAGGTACTTAGTAGTTGGGACATCCACCAGTTTATTAGTCATTTTGTACATCATGCATAGTCTAGACATCTTTCTTCTGTCTGAATGACTATGCACACATCACGCCCCCCTCCCCATATCGTACCTTCAGCGCGCCGATTGTCAGGCTCTTGTCGAAGCGTTTCTCTGAGCCAAAACTGCTCAGGGAGCTGGAAATTTGCACGTTGACGTTGGACGCTGTCACCACGGAAAACTCTGTCATCTTGAAAATGTAGATACTGCACTCTGAACGCTCTCAAAAATTATTTTGAACGTCGTTTTTTTGCCTCCACTACTTCCGGAATGTTCTTTCTCGTCTGACAACACTCATCTCGCGAGATTAGAAACATCCAATGGGCGTCTCTCTTACGAAATTCCACGGTTCTAAAAGACTATAAAACGATTTGTGATTGGCTAGGACATCTAGATGTTAGGAAGAGCGGGAGACTTCGTTCTTGAGGAAAGATCTTTTTGTCCTTACTTGCCTTTTTGCTCGCCAAAGAGATTTTGATATACTCGGCGGGCGTTTATACTTATTACAGTAGTTCGCGGAACGTTTCGGCCATTCTCCGGACCATGTTTTAAGGCTGGATAAGCACGACAATGCGCCTGATCTGTAGCGTCGAGGTCAACAACCGCCTGTGCCCCTCCCACAACCTCGCCAGCAGTAAG